TGTCTTCTCACCTGCTTTTGGACTTTGGTCTGCATTCTATCTATTAAACTATCTGAATCTGCTTTTAAATTTCAGACAAGGTGATGTCAGGTTCACTATATTTAACATTTTTTTACTATAAGAACAAGTGAGCATTTATTTATTATGCACATCTCAGTAATAGATAACTAATATCTGCTGATACTGCAGGATTTGAATACCATCAGTGATAATGAGCCGTGCTGAATATGAGTTTGTGACATGAGGAAACGCTGCAGAGAAGCTTCAGTCCCTCAGAATGTCAGCATACAAGCTTAGAAACAGCACTTAACAGTAACCTGCTGATCTGTATACATGACTGGGGGGTCCAGCTTTCCTGAAGTACAGCGGTTAATTGAAGTAGCACCTACCACAACACATTTGCTCCAAGCACTTGACAATCCATTATTACATCATTTTTACAATGCAATGAAACAGGTGCATGAAACAGGAAAAAAGAGGAGAGGGAATCAATGAATGCCAGAAGACAGTAGAGGAGAGTATTACATATGAGCCCTGAGTGAAAATACACAAATCAGACAGAGGGATCCTACTGTAAATAAGCCATTTCGGTAAGATAATCTGAAAGGAGAATGTCCACACTGTTAAACGTGACCCCTCTAAATTCCAGAAATTTTCCTGTCATTGTTTGTGTGTATTTATAATGGATTTGTTGTTTCGTGCACTACACTTAGGAATTTTTGCAGAACCAGAAAATAGGGCGGATTTACAGCTTTTGTCTGTAGTTTACTCAGTTATGGTCAGTGGCAGAAATGTTCACTTGATCAAGGTATTATCCCGTTATGTTACTTTCAAAGAGCTACAGTAGAGAATAATAATATATCAATGTCACATGAATACCAAACTTTTTTCTTCAAAAGTTTCAAGATTAACAACAAAACACTAGTTTTTTCTATTTTTGTTTGATCCGTTAAACAGAAAGTGAACACAATAACAGTCTTTACCTGCTAACGCTGTGGTAATGATGAACAGGAGGAAGAGGAGAGGAGTCATGTCTGGGGCGTCGATTGTGGCCTTTAGCTGTATCTGTTTCTATCCCTCTGTAATAAAATGACTGTCTGTCCTCATTCTAAATACGTCAGTGCATAAAAGAGGGGGCCTGGCAGAGAGGGAAGGAAGGAGATCACACACACACACACACACACACACACACACGCAAGTTGGTGTACCTATCTAAATGGGGACTGTCCATTCATTTCTATGGGAAAAACCCTAATCCCAATCACAACACCCTTAACCTCTACCCATCCCTAACCTTAACCATAAGTAACCATCCCGACTTTTGGCATTTTTACTTTTTTGATTGCATTCACTGATTTTTATAAAATTGAGGTTATCCAAATGGGGACCTCAACAGATGTCCCCAAAAGTAGGTAAATTTCAGGTTTTACTACACTTTGAGGACAATTTGGTCCTCAAATGTGATCTGTGCGAACCCCCCCCCCCCCCCCCCCGCCAAACACATGCACACAATGCAGCCTAAAATCTGCCTCCCCCCCCCCCCCACACACACACACACACACACACACACACACATGCACTCACACAAACACAGGTTTGTAAGTATATCTTTGTGGTGAATTTCCATTTATTTCTAAGTGGGAAACTCTAATCCCAACATGGCTACCTTAAGCCCTACCCAGCCCTAACCTTAACTATAAGTAACCAAACAAAATATGAGACTTTTGTCATTTTTAGTTTTTGATTGCATTCACAGATCTTTGTAGGGAGCTGAAAAAAATGGACCTCACAAAGTCAAAATAAGCTTTTATTACATTGTGGGGAACATTTGGTCCCCACAATGTAATATAAACCTAATACACACACATACAGCATCAGCCACAAATACGCTGAATCAGCTGCAGCTGTTTTCAGTTTCTCAACAATTTCTGTATCTTTCATATGAGTCGTCAACAAGGTTCTGTAGAGAAGTGGCAGACATGTCTGCTGTTATCTCTGCTCCTTTAATTAAGACTCTAGCCTTAAATGATAGTTCACAACATTTTTATTATAATTATTACAAAGGCTGCTGTGAAAGAACCTCCAGAAACCACATTCTTGCAGAATCCCAAAATCATCCTGATTTAATTCACTGAAGCTAATTAGCTGGTTATGATGAGGCTGCAAAATCAGATGGAGGCATTTCATATACACCTTTAGTTTGGCTAATTACTGTCAGCAGCACAGTTTACATTGGGAAGTTACTGGGGTGTCATTATAAAAAAATCTCCTGAAAGGGTTAATATGTCACACCTGATCATTTTAACAATCTGTTGGTGTCAGGGCAGCTCCAGGAGAAAATGGACAGCTTGTCCACCGTTGTACAAATTAATAGAAACAAGTTGTCATACAGACATGTACTGTATGCAGTGACCTGGCACCTGCTGGTTTTTACAGGCAACAGGGCAGAGACTATGCTGAGTGCATTGACAGAGGAGGCACAGTGCCCGTAGACTGGCGGGCCTGCCCGGGAGGGGTTAGAGCTGAGTGGATGGACAGAGGAGGCACCGTGCCCACAAACTGGCAGGTCTGCTAGATAGGGTTAGAGCTGAGTGGACGGACAGAGAAGGCATTGTGCCCATAGACTGGCAGGCCCACTCAGGTGGGCTTACAGCTGAGTGGATGGACAGAGGAGGCACTGTGTCCATAGACTGGCAGGCCCACTCAGGTGGGCTTACAGCTGAGTGGATGGACAGAGGAGGCACTGTGTCCATAGACTGGTCGGCCTTCTCGGCTGGGGTTAGAGCTGGGTGAATGGACAGAGGAGGCACTGTGCCCATAGACTGGTAGGCCTGCTCGGGTGTGGTTAAGGCTGGGTGGATGGACAGAGAAGGCACTATGCACATAGACTGGCAGGCCTGCTCGGGTGGAGTTAGAGCTGGATGGACGGACAGAGGATGCACTGTCCCCACAGACTGGCAGACCAGGTAGAATTGGGTTAGAGCTGTGTGGATGGACAGATGAGGCACTGTTCCCACAGACTGGCAGGCCTGCTCGGGTGGGGTTAGGACTCGATGGATGGACAGAGGAGGCACTGTTCCCACAGGCTGGCAGGCCTGCTCGGGTGGAGTTAGAGCTGGGAGCACGGACAAAGGAGGCACCGTGCCCACAGACTTGCAGGCCTGCTTGGGTGTGGTAAGAACTGGGTGGATGGACAGAGGTGGCACCGTACCCACAGACTGGCAGGCCTGCTGGAATGGGGTTAAAGCTGAATGGACGGACGGAGGAGGCACCGTGCCCACATACTGGCAGGCCTGCTCGGGTGTGGTTAGAGCTGGGTGGATGAAGAGAGGTGGCACTGTGCCCACAGACTGGAAGGCCTGCTTGGGTGCAGTTAGACCTCGGTGGACGGACAGAGGAGGTGCCTTGCCCACAGACTAGCAGGCCTGCTTAAGTGTGGTTAGAGCTGGGTGGATGGACAGAGGGCAGGGTTAGGGCTCGGCGGATGGACAGAGGAGGCACTGTGCCCTTATTCTGGTAGGTCTGCTCAGGTTGGGTTAGAGCTGGGTGGATGGACAGAGGAGGCACTGTGCACACAGACTGGCAGGCCTGCTCAGATGGGGTTAGAGCTGAGTGGACAGACAGAGGAGGCACCGTGCCCACAGCCTGGCAGTCCTGCTTGGGTGGGGTTAGAGCTGGGTACATGGACAGAGGTGGCACAGTGCCCACAGATTGGCAGGCCTGCTTGGGTGGAGTTAGAGCTGAGTGGATGGACAGAGGTGGCACTGTGCCCACAGACTGGCAGGCCTGCTNGTGGATGGACAGAGGTGGCACTGTGCCCACAGACTGGCAGGCCTGCTTGGGTGGGGTTAGAGCTGGGTGGATGGACAGCGGTGGCACTGTGCACACAGATTGGCAGGCCTGCTCAGATGGGGTTAGAGCTGAGTGGACAGACAGAGGAGGCACCATGCCCACAGCCTGGCAGGCCTGCTTGGGTGGGGTTAGAGCTGGGTACATGGACAGAGGTGGCACAGTGCCCACAGATTGGCAGGCCTGCTTGGGTGGAGTTAGAGCTGGGTGGATGGACAGAGGTGGCGCCTTGCCCACAGACTGGCAGGCCTGCTTGGGTGGGGTTAGAGCCAGTGATGGGCGGTAGCACCACTATATGTAGCGAAGCTATTAGTTTAACTACATTTTCTAGTAGCTTGACTGTAGCGTCGCTGATTTGTGAATCAAGTAACTTTCCAGTAGTTATGTTATTTTTTTGATCAAGTAGCGACGTAGCGTCCATAAAAGCTACAATTCCCAGGACATGTCTGAGAAAAGCAGGGGTTTCCTCTGCAGTATAACTTTGAAACGCAATAATTAGACAAAAATAAAGCATGTTCATACGCAACCTTCTACTCTGCTTCTACTGCCTGTCTATCGAAACACGCTTGCGTATGGCAGCGTCATGAGATCGATACTTAAGTTTCAATTTCTGTTCTGAATGCACTGCGGCTGTCTGTGTAAGCGATGCTGCTCTCGATTGCCACTCCTGGCTGTCACGTGACTCAGCGACGCCAGGCAAGCAAACAGGCTGACTTAGTACTGAGGGAATGGGATGGAAGGGGAGGAGGGGGAGAGGGGTAATGGTGCTTGGGTGGGCTCTTATTGTTCTGACAAGTGTTTGTTTATACGGCACAAGAAAAGCTTTTCAAAAGTGACATCAGACACACATTATAATATTGACAATAAAGTATTGAATTAGTGGGCCGCCGAACCATTCTCGCAATAATTAAACAGCATAGATAGCTCAGGGTTTAATCACTAGATGGCGTTTATTACACCCATATTACTACAACCCACACACTCGCACCGCCCACCGTGCACATCGTCCTGTTTACTCCTCATACACACGGTGGGTGCACGCACACACATACAACAATAAACATTAACAATTATACATGACATAACACACAGCACATTTATAATGACACAAGTGATTACTGAGAACTATTTACAAGCTGGCATCAGTCCAACATGCCGCGCTGCCCGCCGGTACCTCCGCGCTACAGTATTTATTTACTTATAGACTTTGCCCAAATTCTGTCCTGGGTATTAACTAATTATTAAATAAAAAACACAAAACACTTAAAAGTAATGAAAATTAATCCAGCTTTATCAATTTGATGATGTCCAGCTTAATTATTAAAAAGTATAGATACAACATAGGGGTCCCAGCAAGTGCAGCCTGTCAAAGACCGTTTAGCGTAGGAAAGGATATTTTCAGACCAAAGAGAAACCGCCTTTCTGATGCCACTTTTGAAAAGCTTTTCTTGTGTCGTATAAACAAACACTTTTCAGAACAATAAGAGCCCATCCAAGCACCATTACCTCTCCCCCTCCTCCCCTTCCATCCCATTCCCTCAGTACTAAAACAAATTCATTTCAGTTCAGTTTGGACAAGTTCATTTGCTATTTTCCCAGTGATCACTCTCTGAGCCATGCTTATTAATCATGGTGTTGCATGTCGTCCGTAAACACAGTTTAACACGGTTCTTAAACACAAAGTTCATTTGTAACTTCAATCGACTTGTTTAATTGGGGTCTGAAGAAGCTTTCTCGTTAAGGGAGGCCCTGAGGAAATAAGATGGCTGTTAATTCGGTCTTTCTTTTCCCTAGAAATTTTAAATTGATTTAAACCTATAGCCATGTCTTGCCCATCGAACACTACACAGTAGCTTTCATTTGGTACTAAATAGTTTGTTTACCTAGTAGTAGGCCAATAACTTTTTTTTTTGTTTTATTCCCAAAAGTAAACTCAATGCTTCACATAACGCAATGTCTACACTGTGTTAAATCATGGGTTGTTCTTTAATAAATGTCTTAACCAGTGTATCTGACTGTCATTTTTCACTGATCTGGCATTAGGTTGGTACAACGTGAAGTAGCTTCTGATGTAGTAAACTACTTTTGCCATATTTGTGTCTTAGCTTGCTATATTTCTATGGGAGGTAGCTTTTGTGTAGTGAAGCTTAATTTATTGTAGAGTAACTGATAGCTTAGCTCACTACACTTTACAAGTAGCTTGCCCAACACTGGTTAGAGCTGGGTGGATGGACAGAGCGTAGGGTTAGGGCTTGGTGGATGGACAGAGGAGGCATTGTA